CTTAGTTATGCACTCGCATTTATTGCCTTGTCTTAGCTCAGTAGAGAAAAAAAGACTTTTAAATTTACTGAGATCTCCTATATTCGTGTTTTACGCTGACATCCAAGCGGAAATCTCACCTCAAATAACATCGGAGCGTATATCCTTCAAATAAGGAACTCCTCACTAAACGCGTGAGTAAACATAATGCACCTATCTCTAAACCATTGATCATTTGTCTCGGCTTAACCGTTAAAGTGGTGATATTATAACTCCACAACATAGAAAGAAATTTCCTAGTTAAAATTTGTGTTTGTGTTCGCAACATCCTTGTCAATTATTTGCAGCCGTTGTGGTAAATATTGCCTCTTAAACGTGTTTATCTGTAAATAGACAATAGGCCAGCGTGATACCACACGAGAGCTATTCAAGTTTGAGGACAGTAGGTGGTCCGTATCGTAGAGTCAACGCGGTCTGTTTTCTTCCGCTTAGGACACACGCCCATTGCCCGCCGAAGCTGACTGATAAATACGTGGAAATCATAAGTTTTTAAACATTGCACGTGAGCGTCTGCGTGATATGTCAAGCTTCAATATTGGAAATCTACTCTTCGTTAACCATAATATCCCGTTCGACATTGTAACGTGGTGTGTTTTTCGTGAAAGAAAAGATGAGAAAAGATTTCGTTTCACACGCAAACGAAATTCGCACTCCGCGTAAAAATATTATTATATTTTCCTAAGTAAACTATACAAACCTATTCGTAAAAATATTCACCAAATTTCATATTATGTGCCGTCAACAATTTAGACAAAAACGGATTCGATATTATAAGCTCCATTAATATTTGCGAGGCATCCTATATGCGTATGCCTCGTGAAGCCAAAAGTTTTATCGCATTTCTGCTCATTCCACTTATCCAGTTAGAGCCATTACAATATCAAAGGTGTTGTTTTTTTTCAATTGCAAATCGCGGTCGCATTACTATTCCCGCCATGTTCAAAGCGTACGTCTTAATAAATTACAAATCAACATGCAATCGATTCCGCGTCACGTCACGTTTGTGCCGACGGATCGAATAATAATCGAGTTACCGTCATTTGCAAAGTGAATAATTCAATCGAGAACAAATAACCAGCATCACGTGGTCTCCCTGAATACTAGACAACGCTATTTGAGGCAAAGTCCGCTGCACCTCGGGACAAATTAGGGCTCCGCCTGTGCTGGTGGGATGCAGTCATTGAGTCATTAATGTATTACAAGACTAGTGAAGGATCGTGAAAGTGAATGGGTGGATTACACGAGGTGTCTGGTATGCTGACGCCCGCCGGGAGGGAGCTCTATGACCCAGCGGCAAAGAAGAAGAAAAATACTTTATATTAAAACATTGACCTTATATTATTAAATGAAGCCAGATTGTTTCTGTACGTGTGTTTATGTAACGAAACCTATCGAGTGACGGAATGTAGAAAAAAAGCTCGTTTCGTAGAAGCAGTAGCGGCCGAGTGAGATATTTGTAGTGATAATATTAGTCGCCTGTTTCCTTGAACCCTCTCCTCGGGAAACGCGTTGCTGACATATTAATTACTAATTGAGGGAGATATCGTTCATATGGCAGCAAGAAATAATCATAATATATGTTTTGGCTACAGCAACAATAATACGAATTATAATACATAGTAATTAACTTTTTATAATGAATAAGACGATAAAGCTAATGATAAGTTTACAAAACCTGAGATAAAGACAACGTCGAAAAAACCTTTGGTCTTTGGTCTACGAATATATAAATATCTCCATTTCATCCTACGACAACAATAACGAAAAGACGAAAGCTCGTTCATCTCCGGGACGTTTACTTTTTGTCGTCGTCCCAAAAATTGAATCGTCAAAATGGACAACGCTTTCACGGCTCGAGGAAGCGATTCATCACAATTGGCAGCTAAATTGTTTACTTAGAGGACAATTCGAGTTAAAAGCCCATGCCAAATCGTATTAAGGAGACGCCCGACCGAGCGTCGGTCGTGCCTTATCGCCGTCCCGTGAAATCGACTTTGTCACTTCGCCATAAATCTTCCCAAATGCAAGAATGTGGCATCCCACTGACGCGCACCGATGCGTCCAGGATGTTTACCCAACAGCCCGCACGTACAATAGACGCAATTTTTTTTTTGCCAATTGCTTTGGGTTTCGGCGAAGCGAGGGCATTGTTGTCGATATTTAGACGTCAAAACACTGGGGAGAAATGGAGGCATTTTGCACGGAATGATTTAAAGCGCGATATGGCACAGGCGAGCCATTACCGGCGAAATATGACGTTTTTAGCGAAGTCGAATTAATTTCTAGCGCATTCAGCGCTTCCTTTATAGCGCTGGAGGGATGCCAGTAAAATAAGTCGAGGCGAAGTCTCAGCGCCCGCGGTCCATAACTCTCGCCGCTGGCTGGCCATAAATGTCACCGGGGACGCACTACGCAGCACTATCAATCCGGTTTTGCATGTTATCGAGTGTCTCCATCTGGCGGCCATTTTTGCGTCGGCGTGGTGCGCCGGAGACAGTGTTGCCAGATGAAAAAACATATAAAACGCGAGGGATGTCTACATAAAACGACGGTGGCGGTTTGGTTTGTTTAAAGTTATTTATGTCGCGGGTTCGAGCGAGGAAGTAGTTGCCCGCGGTGTTAGTATGATTTGCGGCTTATTTTAGGCATCGGGCTCGGCTTGAGGTGTTCACGTCCAATAAACCGTGTCTCGAATAACACGCGGAGACTGGCTTGTTACCACGTTTTCACCTAAAAATACCATTTAGAGAAAAGATCGTATCGCATGACAATTAGCGTGTTCTCGTTGTTAAATAAATAGTCTGCTATTTTTAAGCTTTCCAGTACATTATTCCATGAAATTGTAAAGATTACTCTTAACAGTTGTGACGGAGTAAAATATCATGTCGGTTAGATGAGAACTTGTCGCTATTGCAATCCTAACATTGAATTACGCGTTAAACTGTATGTACCTAAAATGTGAGTACTAATAGAAATAACACAATCTATTCATAAGTTAATTTGAATTGCAAGCCGAATACTGAAAACGTAATGTTAGCTACTAAACAACAATTGTTTGTGCTACAAATTGCATTAAAGCTAACTGTGCCAGTTATTAAGCCAGTGTTGTAATCGCTTCTATTTCCACACCAACTTGGAATTGTTAAAGTTTCATTGCTGCTTAGTGTTTGCGATCGGCTTTCAATTTGAAGCCGACCTAACTTTTTATAGAGAGCTATTTGTTTCGATCGCCTTCTAGGTTAGTTCTTTAACGGAAAATTATTGCTTTCTATTTAACTTTCCTTTGATGCCCACGCCCCGGAAGCAATAACGTTAAACTCGGATTCTAATAGTCGTTTTATAGAAGAAGTTCTTGTTGAGGCATTTATCAGCTAGAAACAATGACGATTCACCCATCTATACAAAGGACACATCAAGCTTAAACCGTATAAATTAATTGAATAGAAACGAAGTTTTAGTATTTGTGGATGCGAGACAATTATCAATAGCTATTTATTTTTCTCGGTGGTAAATAGTCACTGATTCGAAACATGCACATCTTCAAACCACCACCCGTAAGATGTCAATTGTCAAACCCCCGACCATCTGTTTTCTAATGCTCACTAAAAACGAATACAGTTAAAAAGTGTGACATGTCGCCCGCATTGACTTATTTAACACTAAACGTATGTTTCTAAATAACAAACGTGTGAACAAGTCTAAAGCATAAAGGTTTTGTTAAAATATTTCAAAACGTAAACTCTAACCCGTGCCTTTAAACAAATTAAGCAACAGTAAGTCGTTTTCATGCTCCATTAGGCCACAGATTGGTGAATGGAGTATTCTTGCATGACTTAGTAACTTTGGCTAACACAGGAATTCACGTGAGATTACCATAAACAAACAGATCTCCAAACCTGGGCGTCACCTCTCAAGAAATTAATTGTCATCGTGCTTCGTACGTGACCACTACCATCTATTCTCACTTAGGTCTCATATATGCATAATAAAGTGTAACTTTATCGACATTACATTTAACAGTAAATTTAGTAGTGTGAAATACCTACCTACACCTTTGCTACATGCTTAGCCTTCAAACTTTACTTTTGTTTATTACGTATTTTTTTAGATAAAAGTTTCCTAACACTAACTATCTAACTTACATTCTAAAATGTTGGGAATACCATCTATAAAGAAATATATGGTATTGTGAATAGACTAATAGTTATTAATAGACTGAATAAACCTGTTAATATATCTTTATAATTTCTTTTCAGTTTAACGATTTCTGTTTTGCCTTGCAAGTAACTACTTTAGTATTTTTGGTAGTGCTCTTTTCATTTTATTAAAAAGTTATTTTATAAATGTTTTATTTATATACATTTTTATGACATTTTGCTTCTTACCCACACACCATTACACCAAGAGTAAACGATTGAAAACAAATAGTAGCGGTAACCATTAGTATTAAATTATATTGTTATTTTATTGGAACCCGCATCCTCTTGGGACAAAAAACAACAATGTTTATTTGACTCGTCCCGCAGGCCACGTCACGGCCGACAATCCAGCCCTTTCCGATTGACATATTTACATACAAACCGACGGATTCATGAAGTAAGAAAATACTGCACATTACGGTTTAATTTTGTTTTCAATAAGACATGCTAGACTTTAAAAGAATTACTATACTCACATTTCTCGATAAAAATACACCAAGCATCAGTAATTAAGGTTCAACATTGATAATCGTATGTTACGATTTCATTATAACGAAAATAATTTTTCTCTGAGTTTTATTTGTATCGTAGTGAATTTGCCAGATCCGGTATTTACGTTGGAGAATTATAACCTAACGGGTCAATGATTTGACCTTAAATCTTATACAAACATTTATTTAAAGCGATTATTTTTTGCGACTGATGTTCCATTATCGCTATTCCACGAATAGTAAGTTATACAAATGTTTTTTGGTCCAGGTTCTAGGCCCACAGGCTTATAGTTTGGTGCTCTAAGTTGAACACATGAATGGTTGAAGTGTTGAATTTCAGTTTAAGGTCTGCTGTATGTAATACTAAGTATGTCGGTGTCGCCGGTGTCGTTGTTGATACTCGCTCGTAAGCCAAGGTCGAGTTCGACTTTTTTTCTCTAACAACATAACCAATAGAACTCTTCTCTTCTCTGTTCACACTCATGCCAAGCCGTCTATTCTGGATATCACGAATTTAATAGCAGTAGTCGTCAAAGCCGCGAACCTGCACTGTAGCATGGCAGGTGACGGAAACCTCTTAAAACCTCTCTCAGTATTGAATAATAAGAGAATATTAATTAAAGCAAAAGAAGGGGCTGCATAGAGGTCTCCATAAATATAAACATCGTTCTTTCAATATCAATGGATTGGAAATGTAGAGGTTTCCTGCAGAGACGTGTGAATTTGAGTGAAAAGTTTTGGCGTCGATTCCACCTTATTAATTTAGATTACGCGCAATCGGTAGCTAAGTGGCCGTCGACTCGTGGAAGAGAGAAACGAAGCTTATCGTACTTTTCGTTAGCCATCTATTTTAATTAAACTGAGAAATGTGCGTAAGACGTGCTAGGGCCTAAATGTGACTTTGTGCTATGAATAATATTCGGGGGTTAATGTTGAAACTATACAAAGTCCTCGTCCCAGCAATGAGCTCAACTCTATTTTTACTATGCCCCATAGTTGGAATGTAATTCCCCGTAGACATGCATGTAAGTGGGTAGTCGCGTCGCTGGTCGCGTTTCTGCTGCACGGCTATTTAGCATTTGAGCTCATTCTCCACTAAGGTGCACTCGCTACGCCACAGTAAATGCTCGAGAACTCATTTTATGTAGATTCAATTGGAAAACACTTTATTGCGCTTTACTGAATATTATTAACGGAAATTACGATAATCGTCTATAGTAAATATGCTTTGAATTTGCTGTTCACCTCGAGAGTATTTACCTACTGGAGTTATGTAGAATTTCGTTCCACAACGCGCAGGCGCTTTTTGGTCTTTTCGTGATCCGTCTCGTCACATTGCGGTACACGATTAAGGTATTTCGTTCGAAGCCTGTAGGAATGTGAATAATACTCGGTCTGCTAGGGCGCAACATTCAAACGCTTTATTAAACAGGAAATTGTGAATATTCGAGTTCCCCGAACAGGTAAAATCTGGACTCACTGTTTGAGTGGGTAATTAATTCACTTTCGAACAATAATTTATTAAAACCATAAGCATACCAATCCCCTATAATGAAACCATAGCGGCGTACAACCGCACCTTGCCAAGCGAGGCAGCGAGTTCGCGAGAAAACGAAACACCAAAAATTTTGGTCGCCCATTAATTTAATGTATGCAGACCCATGTTTACAGTAAGCACGATTGGATTTTATTTAGTATCCCCATATAAATAAGTTTTATAAGAATTTTAAAATATGATAATGCGATAGATTGTTGAGGTGTGGGAATCATTTATTTATGCTAATGCAAGTCGTAAACTAAAGAGGCATAAGTTATAACCGATCATTTAGAAACCATAATTCAATTAGTTTTACGCCTTAGAGATTGGTCTTTTGTAAGAATATAGCAATATAGAAAAACGTGTATAGTTGAATGTACTTTTTTACCTCAATTACCTTGTAGGTTAAAGAATAAAATTCACACAGTTTTATAGCTACAAAATTCCAGACAGACGCACTGGTATCGGTCTCCTACGAACTGAGAATATTAATTAAGATTAAGAAATATCACAAAAACACAAATATTTCTTCTATCTATGTATACGTTTTGTAGGAACATGATCACGATAGCCGCGTGACATACAACCCGACAAATTGTTTCTTACCGTCGTTTATTATAAGCTTTATGTCTTATGTAATATTCAGAATGTCAAGTTGTTTTTTATAATATGGCCGCCGGATATTCATAACTCAAACTAAAACGTATAGTCGTCCGAAAACAGCACCATTTTGTCAAGAGTAAGAACTCCGAGTATCGCTCCGTGTGTTTCAAGCAATTGAATAATTCATAACGCACGCTATCGACAGGTAATAATCCACATTTGTAGCAGGTTCGCTCCTCTTTTGGGTACAATTGTTCGTCTACGACATAATTCAGTGATGGCTGGAAATAGGCCCACTGCGAACATGCCTGCGACTCGTACTTAGCTATTTTAATAGCTTTATCTCAGTTTAATTAGATATATTGGCGCACGAACTGTAATTGAGCTGTTTGTCTCATATTTATTTCCTTCTAAAATAATCGGATTCACTTATTATTAGCTACTTTTAACTTTCCTTTTATTGGAACTTTGAAGAAGAGCTCGATTGAGCCGAAAAGAAAAATCTTCGCTTTCATATGTGTAATTAAATCGTACCTTCGTTTCATTGTATGTCATGCGAATTGGTTAATAGTCGTCAGAAAATAAAAAAGAGGTTTATTTAATCTGTACTACTCGCGTAAACTCCCAAGTCGAATTGAACATTGAGGTGACGTACGAGCGACGCGCAGACGAACCACGACGTTATTGGAAGTTCATTAATATTCGCGATGGACGACAATTTATAAATGACTACAATCCTGTTGGCAGAGCTGGACTTTTTGCCGCCTCCGGCCACTGTTAATTAATGAGAAACTCATAAATATTCGCGACATTGTACGATTAATACTCGACATGACATAGCGCGTTTAACTTAGAGCGTCTTTTCAATAGACATGTTTTAGTGCATTATTATGAAGTAATGTCTGTACGTTGGCAGCTGAAAAGATTCTAAAATGACGGACCTTAGAAATAAATAAGGCAATCGTTTTCCGCGGTACAATGTTAAAGGAAGTATTTTCTTTACTAGTTTGAACTATTTTCATTTCAATCAAAATTAAATACTCTAAAAACATTTAAAATTACAGTGTATTTCGCCGTACGTTCGTGTGAGTACGTCCCTGGGCGGAGGCTATTCGCAAGCACAGCGGATGCCATAATACTAAATATATTATGCAAATCCTCGCAACGGAATGTGACTAACATAATATTGTTTGAGGCCCCGTCCCAGCTTATTCCTGAATGAATTTTGATTGATCATTTGCATTCTTACTTCAATTGTTTCTGAACTTTCTATAAAAAGATAATTCTGCTAGTGAAACATTAATGGGCCTGTTGTTGCAGTAGTAGCAATGACTTAATCGTTGTGAATCTATTTCTTATTCTTCTCTGTATAACCACCAAAAGACAGCATATTAAAATTTACGAAACCCAGTTTTTATGTGTTCCTTATGTTATCTCGTTTCTTTGACCGTGTCGGTTAACTTGGTGACTTATAAATATGTATAAACAATATTGTTTAAAATCGACATCGATACGGCTACAGCGTAGGTGAAAAACGAATAATCGATTCGGATGTGAACCGAAACATTCGATACATCGATGTATCGATTACTATCGCAGACGCCTCGCTCTGTCTCCTGTCTCCTCTCCTACTGTGAGACGGAATGTGCCCAATCCGTCTTTTCAAGGTACGACTTCGATACGAATACGAACCTTATCGTAAGAAATGTACATTTGTAGAGTTAAAGAACGCTTTCGATTGCATACTTTTACGATATATTTAAAGTTAAATTATTGATAATATATTATAACACACACCTTGCATCTAGCCAAAAGTATATTTGCCATGCAATACATACCGTAAATATAGATCACATCAAAATGTATTAGACTTCCGAGCATGAATAACGTGCTAGCAAAGAGAAGTTCTCGAGGCCAAAATGGAAATACAGGTCTCAAATACTTAAATGTGTCGTATCCATCTTAATCCAAAATTGTCGTACGTCTTGAAAGGTTTGCGTTCGCGTCATTTAAATAAATTAAACAAATAAAATTATACGTTGCGTGTTCACTTGATTATCGTCGTTAGATTGTTCCCTTATTCAATTGAAACTTTCTTTATTTATTTGTACTCGATTGTATTTTACCAAGCATTTTTGTTGGAAAAAGGTATAACGTAGATACTGACGAACATGTGTGCAGAACTTTTTTGATTACTTTATTCTCAATAGTTTATTATTGACCTCATCCCTAAGCCTTATACTTATATTAAGTTTCAGCGTAAAATATATTATTAAAGTTAAGCAATTTTTAGTAGACATATTAGCAGTGAGGCAGTGAGTGTATGTAAGTAGAAGACTTTGAATTTTTAGAAGAGTTTGTTAGTAGAAGGTTAGTCTTACAATATATATACTTACTATACGTGTTAGCTATAGTCTAGGTGCGGGTATAAGTAACAAATATTGTGATACTAGAGAATGTCCTAGTTTGCATACACCGAGGTATAAATATTCATATCACCCACGAAGTGTGTGTCACATTCCTTCACGAACCTGCATCCCAGATATAAAGTTACAAATTAAAGCTAATTGATATTAAGTCGCCACTGTTCTTATCTGACGCTTTGCGTTAATACTGTTGATACAAGGCTAGACCACGAGTTTTTAAGGTTTAATAAAAACACCTGCACCGTATTGCATAAAAGTTCACGTGCTTGTATGAGATATCTCGAGGTTTTTATACTTACGCGGTAAAACACGGGTTATATTGAGTGATATACATAATGTATGTTTACTTTGCATATTAGTAAAATTTTCAACCGCAATCTTGTCTAACAATGGTTATTATTCACGAACTGTGCTCGCAACAAGTTCTGCCACACTCGTTGGCCAATAACTTACGACACTTATCGAGCCAGTTACGCGTGTTGTGTACCAACTACCAACACACAATGCGACAATATAACATTCAAAACGAATGCAAGTTAGTCGACTACTTTCAAATTGTTATTGTTATCCGACTCCGAAAGGGTGATTTTCAGGGAATGCGTGGGCTTTCCTGCCCGATCACTAAGCTGCAGATACAGACTATTATTCTATAGCATAGTTTGTACAAAACACAATCTGAGTCAACGTTATGCATATTCAAGCGTTTATATTAAAAACCAATATTTATTTCTAGATTAAACCTTCTACTTTCTCAATTTCCTTGTAAATGATCTCAATCTCAAAAATTAGTTAAAATAAATTGCAACCCAGTGCGCATTGGGTTTGGTTACTTCGCCTCCTTCTTAAATTTTAACATTTAAATAACTGTGTTACTCAATATTAGGCATTAGTTCCTTTTGTGTCCATTAAGATAGACCT